AAACTCTTACTTCTGCAATGCTAGTTTTACAACTGCAGTTTCAAATGAGAATAGTCAGACTCTTAGAATTCAATTAGTGTATGTTTGTCTCCTGCATAGTGATATATAATCCTTATTTATAACAATGCTGTATGGCAGAGGCAGCTCTGACAATTTTAAATTATGCAACAATAAACACATTACAGAGCCTTCCTTGGATTACACCATGCTGGATGATTGCATCCAGCACCCATTTAGGAAGGCTTTGCGTACTTGGCTTTCTGAAGAAGCTGTCCTTAAAACATGACCTGTAAACAAGGAGGAAAAACTCGGTGTTGCTTCTCTGAAGTCAATCCAGGTGCACAAAGCGAAGACTTTAATACAAACTTTCAGTGTCAGCCTTTGAAATCCTTGAAAAAGAAGATTGAATGTTAGGGATTATAGTTCTCTTGCATTTTTTTTTTGGTCTCTTATTGAAAAAAGCATTTTGCCAATCCATTAATAAACAGTTCCACGTAAAGTAACCCCTCTACCTAGGCTCGGATATCAGTGCAAAGAGAAAATTTAACAAGTACAAAGCTGTAGCAGTATTTCTCAATTATTTTCAACAGTGTAATTTAAGAAGCTTAGTGGTGACCCCGAACTCGTGCTATAGTCTTTGAATTGCCAGAAGACATGGCTCCTTAGTCATTATCTGAACAAATTTCAAGTTTTTTTTTTTTTTAAAAAAAAAAAAGTATTTCAGGTGAAAAAGGTAAAAACTGCCTGTTGTCGGAGAAGGCAGTTGTCTACAACAGCTGACAAACATAGGCTGACAAGTTGTCACTAATGGAGGAAAAAACTGCTTTAGCAATGGCAAGGTTTTTCCTGATTTAAAATTAGTAAATTCTGAAGAATCAAAATAACTAGAATTTGAGATGTACCATCTGTCACAGAGTGATTCCAATTTTTTTTTTTAATACCGGAATTACACCTTCCTGCTAACAACATGTTCCCAATGGACCCTTTGCACTGACGTAGTGCCTGCCTCTAGAAGGAACCAGTTAAGTAATGCCTCCTCCAAAAGCATCAGCTCATCTTGCAATACTCTGATGTCATCATTAATACCAATCAGATTTGAGTTTCAAAAACTGATCAGTGAACGAAACCAGCTCTTCCAAGATGAGTTCCTCCAGCTTTGAGTTTTACTTGGCAGCAGTTCATTAGTTCAGTTTGTAGAAGTGGTTGTGTCTGTGCGCTTCTCGCTAATGCTCCGTGCATTCATCACGGGGGGGGAAATTTAAGCTTATTCATCTAAACATCAGCAGCTGCTTTGGGTCTGTCCTGCCTTTTGGGGTACATGAAGCCATCTCCGGGACATGACTGTGTACTCTGTGAACTAAGAGAACCTTGATATTGTAGCAAAAAGATGGTTTTAAGCTGGTCTGTCAATGCTGCAAGAGGTATCTCTGAACTGCATCAGTCTAGTTTCTCTAGTCTGTCTTCATTCCCGATGTATTTTTAACTTTTTTCCAGAGATTGCTCGTTATGGCTGATTACATTATTTGAAATTTTTTTTGTCTCCTTCGATGCCTGTGCCAGTAGTGCTTATGTAAAGAGGCTTGATGATATTGAATGGTAAGAATGAACAAATGCAGCGGGAATTAAATTTCTATTTTGCTCTCAAGCACAAGTGTTCTTTCTAAATCAAGTCTGACCACTTACTATGTCAGTCAGCTACGTTGTTGGAGACATGGAGAAACTATTTCATTTACATTTGATTTAAGGGGAATTTTTGTTTGCTTGAGGTGCTCTATTTTATTTAGAAGTTTTAGAATTGTATGGTTTCCAAGTGCTCTGCATGCTTTAAAACAAATTTGGCCATCGCTGATCTTCATCTTGGCTGCAAAATCCTGTGTATTATGTGTACCTGTCAAATAACTGGCCAGCAGTATCCTATCCTCTGTACAGACAGGGAGTTTGAAGTTATTTGTCAAATATCACACGGGAGTTGTTGATGATGAGTTTTTTCAGGTACTTTTAAATAAATCTCTTCATCGTACAACCATCCACCTCAGCTGGTACATGCAATTTTAGAATTCATGCTGTAGAGCACCTGATAATTAATGACAATTTAGAATACCTCATTGTAACATCGTTTACAACCTGATTAATTAGTTGACATAGCTCTTCTTAAATTTCGCATGTTAAGAGGTTTGTGAATGTTTTCCAATAGTTTGACAGTCTTCCCACAGGTGCAGTAAATGCTGGATTGCTGTGAATTTAGGGCCATGTCCTGCACTGCTCTAAAGTCATCTCCACTGCTGCCACAACCCTGCTTCGCTCTGATGTTCAACAAATAGTTTACCGGGAAGTTTGTGTGCTAATCTGGCAGAGAAACTAATCTGCCAAAGCGAATAGCTTGCTTTTGGATGAGCATGCTGAAATGAAGTGTTGAAATTTGGAGACGCAGCAGTAGGATGGGATGTGGCAGCCAACAGTTGGATTGTCTTAGACTGCCAAAGACCCTCAGTCAGGGAAGCACACACGCTTCTTTCATAGGGGTTGGCAGTCCCAGTTGGGCAATTTCTAAAGAAGAATTGCCATCAGTGAGGTATTCAGAAGAAAAATGACTGTTCAAAAATGACTGTGCAAAAAAGCAAAATTTCATCGTACCATGGCGGGGACACTCAATTATAAACTTCTTTGCCTCTCTGTATTCAGACAGAGCGGGGTTTCTGTGTGCTTGATTCATCACACTTGGCTTGAGAGAGAGCACAACATCTCCAGATATCGGAGAGGCTGATTTTGTAGTGCTTCAATGTCGCTTTTATTCAGCCCCTACTCAATAGAGCTTTCTGTTCTTCTCGCTCCTAGAGATTGTAACTGCTGCTGCGGAGGCAGAAACGATGTGGAAATATGGACCATAAAAAATACTGGCAAACTGGTGTTTCTCAAAAATATGACCTGTGCTTAAAACAACAGCAAAATCTTTATTTTACTTTTAAATTGTGGCATGTTGTTGTCTTTTGATTTTTTTGAGCCTCTAAACAAAAGCATAATATACCGCAACTCCCTGTGAACTAGGGATTTAAGACATGGGAAATCTACAGGAAAAAACCCCTCTGTGTCCAAAATAAAATCCCTTTCTGATAGGGCGTTATGGAGAGTACAGCTGTTTGGTGGTAGTGTCGTGCAGAGAGGAACCGAGCTGGAGGCTGGAGCAAACGTGGTAACGGAAAGGAGGGAGAAAAGAGCCTTGGCTGAGCTGGGTGCAAGCTACATGACCTTGCAATGAACTGAAGACTTACTGCAACTCCACCTCTTAATAGGGAGGTCTTGTCCACAGAGAGTAGTGGAAAAGAAAGTTGAGGAGTAGGACACTAATAATTCCTGAAAGCTGGCAAAGTTTTCTATGTCTTGTTGATGCTGTGTAATCTGTCAACTTCAGTTTCTTTTCATCTAAATGTATGCTGTTACATCTGTTTACTCGGTTGTTCGGGATCAGAAATGCACCTCTCCGTGACAGCGCACTGGTTTTTATCCTTTGTAACTTGATTCAGAACTGGAGGGAGGAAGAGGCTGTGTGCTTTGCAGTGGGAACTTGCTTTTTGGTCCCAAAATTAATAACGGAATTGATGAAAAAACACCGTTCAAGTATATTGGTGTGCGGCTGACGGTTTGTGGGACAGTAATGTATTCTGTGTGGGAACATCTGTTGTAAGGGAATGGCTTGGGGAGGGGGAAAGGCTTGTGATATAGCTGCAGATACTACTTCAAAATGACTTGTATATGAATGCACAGGATAGTTTAATTAAAAGGAGAATGGAATTTCCTCATCTTATAGAGAAAAGTATGTGGAGAAATCTGGTTCACTGATGTTACTGAGCATCTGCTGGCTTGTGATGATGCTTTTACAGCACATTTACTGAGGGGTTTTGCAGGTTGCTCTGCCTCTGAAAGGACAGTACTCTCTGTTCGTCTCAGTTCACTTCGTGCTATTTTTACAGCTTTCTGTGTTCAAATGGCTCAGAATAACATGCTTGTCATTCACCTGTCAACTAAGAAATGTAACTTACTTCAGACTTCCTTCCCCTGAGAGTAGCTCCACTATGAGGAATAGCTTCAATTACCAAAAAACTCTGTGCTGTCCCCTTCCTGTGTGCTCTTAAAAGGCAGATGTTTACAAAAGGTCCTCTGTTTCAAGATGACCTAGTTAAGGATGCTGCTGTGCAGCAGGTCAAGGTTTTGGAGTAAAGTTTTTAGCATCACGACTTGCTATTCAAATTTTGGAGAATTGTGGATGGATCTTCAAGATCACCTGTACCAGCAAATGGTTTTACTTTATGAATCACGGCATAAATGGAGGGCTGAGCACCTGCCTGATACTGCAGTCTTTGACCAGATAAGAAGTACATCGAGTCGTTAAAGCCAATGCATCCGAATACCTGTATCCTGGCACAGAGGTGCCCTCTGTGCAATACCAGCAAAACAGCTTGAGCTTTGCAACACCACGGCACCGCTTGCGTAGGTGAATTGCTTGATGAGCCTCCAGGTTCTTTTGGGTTGATGCATGGTAGGATATAGAAAAGTTTCAAGAAAAGGGGAGCATCCCTATGCTTATGGACATCAGAATACTTAATCCTCAGATGCATGGAAGCTGGATTGTTTTTTTTAATTGTGTGGTTGCTGCTGTCCCACTGGAGTGGGAATGGGCTTTTTGACTGTAACTTCAAGTGCTGCCAATGATGCTCTTGTGCATTTTACTGGGGAGAACTTAATTGAATCACTGGTAACGGTGATCTGTCTGTCCTGTTTGAATGACTATGGTTTTATGAACTGATGTGTTATTATTTTGTGCCTAGAGAAGGAACAGATGTCATTAGTGGTTTCAAAATTGGTTAGAACTGAACAAATGCGGACACTTTGTATTTCGTGATGGGTTGCTAGCCGCTGTTGGGGTTGGGTAAAAAGTTTCCTACAGCAGGAAATAAAACCCAGTTCTAACAGTTCTGTTTTGTCTTCTCCCACTTTTGACACAGGTTGCCAACTTGGCCTGTTCCATCTCGAACAACGAAGAAGGTGTGAAATTGGTTCGCATGTCAGCCAGCCAGCTTGAAGCCCTGTGTCCCCAGGTAATGAAGAGCGTAAGAACATAAGACATACCTTAATAAGTTGTGCAACTGGTCCTGCTTAGTACATATTCTGGGCTTGTAGTGGCTGTCTGTGGACTTGCTGCAGAACTTGACTTTTTCCTCAGTACGTGTAGAGAATGAAATGCAGTGTAGACATCAAGACTTAGAAACTTTAAAATACATGACAAAGTAATTTGTGATACGAATGGGTCTTTTCCTGCATAATAGCTTTAATTTCATTTGACCAGGGTATTCTAGTAACCTACAGGACAATAAACAGGTGAAACTTCAGTTGTTTACTGGGCACATTCGTGTTGCAGGAAGATGTCTTGTGAAGTCGCTACCACTGCTCCTGTACATGCTGTAAGATGAATTATAGATATATTATTTTTTGCCTGAGTAGAATATAATTATGCCAAAAAAAAAAAAATATCTTCTCATTAGAGTAGGATCAGAGGAAGCGTGAAGAGTTTGAACCTGGCTGAGACTACCTTTTAATTAATAACTTTTTTATGGAAACAGGGAAATTAAGTTTATATGAGCACTAGACTCTCTTGGTCCATTTTGACAGCCCTGGTGTTTTAAATGTCAACAACTAGATACTTGGATGAACCCCTGAAGACTACAGCACACTGTCAAGTCTTGTAATTTGCATTTTTTTAAAGCAACAGGAAATTCAGATCTAAAACATACAAATAAGCTGTGGTTGGTAACAAGGAGCTAATGGAAAATAGGCACTCAAAAAAATCAGTCAAATGGCATTTTATGAAAATAAGGTGTATTTTCTCAGGATTATTTGGAATTTGTTCAGGTTTTCCCATAAATATATGTCTTTCTTAAAACCAGTCGAAAGGAAGAGAGATATATTCACCTGTACCTGCCTCAGCAGGAGGGGAATTTTGAGGGAATAGGTGAAGGTAGTGTGAAAAGCAGGACTATTTTACCTTTTCTGTTACTTTTAAGTAACAGTGCTATTAAATAGGTGAAGATAGGCACATGAACATAAACCATTAAATACTATCTGGGAGGCCTTTTGTCATCCTGGGGTGAACTTCTGTGGTTCCCACTCCTGCATCAGTCCCTGGGGCTAGTGCATCAACTTTGTTGGCTGTGCAGTTCTTTGCCTCTCACATCTGGGGCAAGTGGTGTGTATGGCTTGTTAAAACCAAAGGTCAATTTTTACAGTTGGAACAAAGTATGTGGAAGAAAAAGCTTTTAAAAATACATCTTATCTGGTGTAAGGGCTTGCTCTTTCCAAAAGTAAGCAACTAGGCTGGATGTAATTTTTTTTAGTTATCTCCCAAGAATATGGCTGTCTGTTGCATGTTGTTCCAAACAAATATTGATGCTTTTCAAAATAATCATCTTAAGAAAATTAGGTTTTCTTTGAATCTACATGTTTCTGGTAGTTGTCCAAGTCTGTTGGGGGTGTTTTCCCCTCCCCATTGCTGAAATTGTATGTATTTCAAACTCTTGTCTTTGTTTTTCCAACACCTGCCTATTTAAATAAATCTACTCCTTTATAAAATAAACACCATGACAGTCAATGTGAAATAATTAACAAACTATAGTCAATGGTCACCAATCTGTAGTCACATCTACTGAAGTGCAGTTGTTAACCTTTGACTTCAGGGATTATGGATAATACATTTAACATGCATTGGAAGCTTTGATTATCTAAATGGACAAGGGCTGTAACTGATGGATTTTTGGCTTTGCAAAGGTCACATCTGAACTTGGAAGCCTGCAGTTCAGATGCTCCACTGCGCAGTCTTGCCTTAATTTCAGGGTTGCCACCAAGAGATTAGTAAATGACACTATAGATGTTCATAGCACTCGAAAGAGTGCTGTTATATTACAGTACATGTTCTCTGGTTGATTCTTTAATGCTCTAAGAGTATTTAAACATGTTGTGAATCCTGAGAGATAATTAGGGTCACTTGTCTAAACTGTTTTACAAATGGCATCTATGTTTTCTCCTAATAATACAGAAGTTTGTCTTGTGCCAGTCCAAGTGACACAGCACGCTGTCATCCTCCTCAACTGTGTTAGTGAATGGCCCCCAAACTTTGATTGTTCTGTATAATCTCTAAATGCTTCTAGATACAAAGAACAGCATAGTGGGATTTTGTTCCCTTTTTTAGACAATTACCTGTTTGTTTTGCAGTTTATTCCTGATGAGATTCACAGCTGCTTCTTGAATCCTTTTAGGTGGCTGTGCTGAACAAACATGTGAATTAGACATAAAATACAGATTTAATCCAACATTATCTGCGCGACACCACGCACCAACACGCCACCCACACC